AAAAGTCAGGGTGATTATTTTGAGACTATGGGAAAGTTACTTCCTTCAAAATTACAGAAATATTTCTGTAATTTTAACATTGCTTAGGTGCAGGTCTTAGGTAGATAGATGTAGATCTCAGACTTCTGACTTGAAGATTTTTTCAAAATACAGCTAGAGAATTAGAAGGCTCTCTTATAAAGGCTTGGTGATACCATGTACCCCAATTCCATGCCTTCATTTATGCAACTGGGGATAGAACCAAGGGGCTTGCACATGCTAAATAAAGCACTGTACCACACAGCGACATACTGGCCTTCTTTATGCTTTTTGAACAGGGTCATTCTAAGCCACCGCAGGCAGCTTCAAAACTTTCAATCCTCCTCCTTCGGCCTCCTGAGTCATTGAGATTATAGGTAAGCACCACCACACCAACTTCTCATTATTCTAATACTCTTTTAAGACAAATGTTAGTATGAATTCTATTTCACCAGCATTTAATATTTAATAGTTTACAAAGCTAGAGGTTTGGGGCCCCGGGATTTAGCTCAGCGGCACAAGTGACAGCCTGGCAAGCATGAGGTCATCAGTTCGATTCTCTGTACCAAAACAAAACGAAACAAACACAAAATTAGAAGTTTGCTTTCCTTACTCCCCACTGTGGTACACACTCAACATGCCACCCAGCTTTTCCCCTAAGATTTTTAGACTAGAAGCACAACAGTACTGTGTGTTAAGCTTCTAACAGAGCAGAGGATTATTTCAGTCATACAAAACTTTTTTAAAAGACAAGTACTGCCTGTAGTTACCTAGTATTTTTTCTGGCTGACAGAGAAGGAGTTAGGGAGAAAAAAATGAGCCAGTTCATTAAAGATAACAACTTTCCAATTCCGAATTGTAAAACCGCATTACCTAAGTCATGTTTGGTGATTTCCAATATGCAGATTTTGTTCCCACAAATAAAACATTCAACTACTGTATTCATTCAGTGAAGGGTCCTTGTGGTGGGACAGGGACCTCCCCAGGGTTCCTCAGCTGACTCCTGTTCTTTGGGATGCATCATATTCTAATTCGACTCTGGGCACAGGTCAGTTGGCTCCCTCCGCTGGACATCCTCCTTGTGATCAGCACACTAACCTGGCTCCAACATCACCTTTCCTGAGGAAATTTCTCCCACCTAAACAGTCAGCTGCATCTCCTTTTGCATCCTCCCAAGGTAGACTTGTAGTTCTGCTGTGACACCCATCATTCACAGTCTCATCTTTAGATGCCTATGGGCAGGCAGCCGATTAACCACCACCAAAGGCAAAGGCATTAAAATTCTTTTAGGACTCAGTCTAGTGAATACAGGGACATTTCCTACCTTGTCACCATTACTCTTTGAAAAATTTGGCAATTTTACACTCACAAAGTATCAAATGAATCTTTACTTTTTTGGGGGGATGATGAGGCTGAACATCAAACCCAAGGCCTTATGCATATTAGGGAAATACTCTACTCCTGAGCCACCTCCCCAGGGGGAAAATATCTTCTTGAGCCAGTGCCCAAATGCAGTCTCAGCTACCTAGAAGGCTAAGACATGAGGATCACTGGAACTCTGGAGTTCTGGGCAATACAGCAATATCAGTCTCAAACAAAAAAGAAAAGAAATGCAGAAAATGATTTATTAGCTCAATATTTTTATCACTATTTTATACTCTAAATTAGCAATTCTAATGCAAATAAATTGAGTAAATAAATTTACTGGGCAATATAAATGGAGAAAAACATGATATTCCATATAAAGTGGCATTTATAACAGTTCGATGATTGCATGAGGGGGTTTACATTTTTTAAAAAACCATTAATCATTTTCCACCTTTATACATTTTCCTTTACTGCAGTTACAGTAGATCTATATTACTAAGAAGCCATGTGATCTAATAATGTATATCATTATGATTCATATCAAGTATATTAGATAGCAAAAAGCTCATAGATTTTAACTATTGGCTGTATATGAACGATGATGAGAAAATATTTCTAGATTGGTACTTTTTATTCAATTTTGCTTCAGGTTTTTCTATCTCCCTCCAGCAGGATTATTTCAAAAAGAGAAATAACTTAAATGCAGTAGGAGAAAAAAAATAAAACACAAAACATGGCAATGTATTAGCAAAGCATAAATATGCAGCAAAACAACAAATTTCTCTCTGTCATGCCACGAACAGCCTAGCTATATGTCTCTCCCCAAACATGAGAGGTTTCATCCCTGAAATTGTTCTCATCTTGTTTTTCTCTCCTCACAGCTGAATTAATTTAGCCTCTAAGACTGGGACCCCTTACCCCTTGTGTCTCAGGAATTTAGATGAGCTTAGCCTCCTCAGCTACCAGCACAGAGAGATACTGCTCATCAAGGGCGAGGAGGAGCTGTCAAACAAGGATATTCTCTCTCTAAAAGAATTGGGAACAAATGGGGAGGACCATAAGTATTTATAATTATTATCTTGCCATGTATTTCTTTTTTTTTTTCTTGCCATGTATTTCTGCTCATTTGGTTTTAAATTTTCTAACAGAAAAAAAAAGGCGATGATAATGCTTGAAGCGGGATTTATTAAGCAGATTGAGTACGCAGAAGAAAAAAAATTCAAGGAAGACAAAGCATTTCAGCTGGAGCATAAGAAATACTAATTCCAGGATACGACATGAACAAGAGGACCACAGTGACATATACACTGTTTCTACTTCTTAAGTTTTCAAAACATCTTGTCTGCATTTAGTCTCAAACAGCAAAATTCTCTTTCCCCAGGCCAGATTTTAATAACCACCACACAGAATGACCAATATCACATTCCTCCCAGCAGAGCTTTCTTTCTGTCTGCCTTGACGACATACACCAGCTACACAGAACCAGACCAGCACAAGGCCTCATCAGGTCCAGAGATTGGGGAGACCAGAGGACAAACGGACCCAGAGGGAGGGCTTTACAAAGGTGTGCCTTCTGATAAAAACAAGCTCCTTCTTTCATAAACTGAAAGGCACGCAGAGTAAGGACGATCACAGAAGGACAGTCAGAGAGGGAGAAGGGGTGGACAGGCCTCTTTATTTCTGGAATGAATGAACTCAACTTTTCCCTGAATTATTCCAGCAGCCTCCTACCTACTCTTGATTTCTAAATGCCTCCTCTGGTATGTAAGGGGAGTTAATAAACTTCAATCTTAATCTTGTTCTGCAACTAAAGTTACAAGTAGACCCGATACATAATAGATGAAGGCCACATTACTATCCCTCCAAAGAACAGATCAGTACTTCCAAGTGAGTCTTCCATGGTACGTGATCCTAGTTCATGTTTTATGAAAAAGAGGTTTGCCTACAAGTATAAGCTTTAAAAAGAAAAGTTTTTTCAAGTTATGAAAACGAGATGTACCTAGAACACTATGTACACTAAACATGCATTCTTAAATTATTTTTTCTTAATAGCAATAAAAATTGCCAAGCAATATTGGTAGGAAGTGCTGTATTTTCTGTATTTTCAGCTTAAAAATTTTTAAAGGAACTTGCACAGCCAACATTGTTGCACACTCCATATGGGGTGGTGTCCTTTAAAGTAGAAAGCAGAACAGCAGTTTGTTCAAGCATTCAGCACCGACCCCACCACCAGCCCCTCAGCCTCTCCAGCTCAGAGTGGCTCTAGGGTGGATGGAAGGGTCCCAGCCTGCACTTACTACTCAGAGATGGGAGGAGGAGAAATTACTTTAGCAGAAAAAGAACTTCACTGATGAGGAAAGAAAAAAACATTTTTCCCTTTTACAACATTTCTTCTTTTATTAAATCTGAACTTCAGAGTGAGGAATATAGCTCAGTGGTATAAGTGCCTGCCTGGCAAGAATGAGATCCTGAGTTTGATTCCTAGTACCAAAAAACAAAACAAATTTGAACTTCACATTTGTTAAGCTCTGGAGAACCCTGAACTTCACAGAAGCATGGTGGACCCTGCAGAGTGATGCAGCTTCTGCCTGGCAGTGGAGGATGGAGGAGCAGGGCTGGAGGGACCAGACTGCCCAGCCCTTTGGCCACTGCCAGAAGGTAGGAGCCCAGCAAGCCGGGCTGAGCAGCTGCAGCTGGAGCTTACTGTCCTGCAGCAGGACCGTGTCTGACCGCACCCATGGGCTTTCACTCACACTGCTGGACACTGAGAGGCTGGAGAAAGGAAGGAAACACCACAACCAAGATACCCCACCAGCTATCACAACTGCCAGTTCCATGGTTCAGTTCATCTCGGTTAGCCAGTGGAGGCTTTCCTTGGGTAAGTTTATATGCTTGCTGAACCAGTGGGAAAATAGCTTAACAAAATGAACCCATTTCAACTTTTATAAAATATTTTTAGCAAATACTTCCTGTCACATGTTTCCATTTTTACCACACAGTGGAATTTCATTTCTATTTGCAGAATTCAATATTTCATTAATTAGCTCTCTATTCAAGGAAACCATAGCTGTTGCTAGTAACTTTTTAAAAACAAATCCATGCCTATTGCTGCAATGTTATCTTATATGGAAAAAGTGGGAAGGCTCATGCCTCTGAACTTTGCCAAGCAAGACTGGGACAGTGGGAATGTCTGTCTGTCTGTCTTAACAAAACAACTCTCAATGAGTTGCAGTAGGAACATCAGTGGTAAACATTTAAATTTGTTCACATCAGAAATAAAAAAAGAAGAAGAAGAAAAGAAAAGAAATGGAGAGACTTTTCCTTTCTGTGTCTGTATCCCTTTCCCTAAAAGACTGAATTGTCAAACTTTACAAATGTTACATTTTTCTGGCTCATTGCTGTTATCAAACAAATGTGGAGCTTTGTGTTAACCCAGAACAAACTTCCCGGAAAAGCCAGAAGCTGTGAGCAGTACAGATTTTTAATCTTGAAGCTAAAAAACAGTGGTGAGGCTTTTTCTAACTTTAAACCAAAACCAGACCCTGCCAGCTTACATTCCTCAGCATGAAGCCATCAGTGACCCCCATACTATGCTACAAAACGAAACCACTTACCTTGCTCGGTGGACATGATTCCACAGACTGGCAAACAGTGTGCTCTGGGATAGCAACAAAGAATCTGGCTTTGCTGTGTTACAGTCCACGTGATAAAATCCTAGCCCTGGACATCAAGCACTGGGGCATAAGGAGATCACCCAGGAGTGCTGCTCGGGGTGCTGTGGAGCATTCTCAGACCTTGCTGCCCCAGAGACAGCCCCCTGCACAAGACGCCACAGCTCCCCAGGGAAGGCTGTTGCTGGGTTCTTCAAGAGACAGAGCATCTGCAGATGCTCAGTAAAACCCACAGCACAGAACCCACAGCGCAGACCTTCAGACACACTAGAAAGACGGGATGGTTTATCAACTAAGGCCTGACTTAGGCAATCCTCTCGACTGCTCACATGAAAACAGTTGCTGTTCCTTTTAGCTGTGTCCCTGCACTGGATCAAAGATGTCAGAGACTCAATTCACTAGTTTAAGGTATTAAAATCTCTCCTTTGAATGTCCCCAAATGCTATTTTGCTACTTGTAGCTTTACTTTTTGGCGCAGATCATCAACTTCTGTGAATTAACAGCACAGAATGCATAAGCACTATATGTCAATTTCCCAGAGGAAAACAAGTTTCATGTTATCTGAGAACACTGTTTAACTGATAAATACTTATGGCCTGTTTCTATATATCTTCATAAGTTTAGATAATCTGATTAGTACTTAAACATTTTTTCAGGACCCTGAAAAATTAGGAAATGTCAGAATTAAAATATTTATCAAATCACAGTGAGGTGACAGGCCTCAGACCATTCATCACAAGAGGCTCCAGTGGCAGCCTCCTCTCCACTGTGCCTGTGATAGTGGTCTTGATGCGTGGTATACACCACTCACCCAGACAGCTGCGGGCACACACCTTTTTCCACATGGGGGCAGCTGGTATGAAGCAGAACCGCAGAATTTGCATTTCAAACAGCACCCTGGTTTGAGGGAACACCTGGGGAACCAGACTGTCAGAACCACTAGGCCAGCCTGCCTGGTCTCAGCAAGGCCTCAGAGCAGGCAAGTGCCCATCCACAGGAATCAGTCCATGTCACAGAAGACAAGAGCCGGGAGTTCTCATCTGCACCACACATACGGGACACTCAGAAACTTACACTTGCCTGTCAGAAAATGGGGTCATCCATCTTTTTAGTAAAAGTGATGTTAGTAAATTTGCTTCTAGCAGCTAAGGATGTGGCTCAGTGGTAGAAAACCTCCCTAGCACACACCTCTAGCACCACAACAGATAAAGCATTATTTCCATATAAGGCAGGACTAACTTTTACAACTAATAAAAAATAGAAAATTAGAATATAGAAAAATGAAATCAAGGAGCAGAAATCTGAATTCTTTTATTTCCTTTGCAAACTCTATCCATGTGTTCAAGTTTTGCCATGGCAGACAGACAGTTTAGATTTGATTCCAAGACCACTTAACCTTGGCAAATTTTAGTAATGTAAAAACCAGAATGCTTCTTGGTCACAAAAATGCCCCAACATCTGTGCTTCCTATAGCAGCATTTAAGTTATAGTCTCAAGGTTTTTTTTTTTTTTTAATTTTATTTAAAAGGGAAAAGGGAAAAAACAAAACAAAACAAAGTGATGTAAGGGTACAAGTAATACAGAACTACAAAAAAAAAAAAAAAAAAAAAAAAAAAACACACAGTAAGAAATCACCAGTTAGGGGTTGGGGATTTCGCTCAACGGCATAAGCGCCTGCCTTGCTAGCAGGCAGTCGTGAGTTCGATCCCTGGTACCGATAAAAACGAAAAAGGCAAAAAAAAAAAAAAAAAAAGAAATCACCAGTTAATGGATTACACATTATCATCTTAGAGATAGTTGCTCAAGTCACAGTATCAAAGCATACAAAGTGAACAATCAGAGAGACTGCAAACAGTTGTGTTCAATGATTCAACCAAAAACATTAATATCAAGTAAGTTTGGTTTTAATCAAATTCTCCCATTTCTGTTTTGACAGCTAACATTTACTTTGTACCAGGTGTTTGTCAAGCATGTAGCATTTCATTAAATTTTTACTGTAAGGTAACAATTTATCACCATCTTCTTAGAAGATGGTAATTCATCACCATTTTACAGAAAAGTAGGTCAACAAGGTTAAAAACCTTGGCCATTCATACTGATAAAAGAAATTAAAGAAGTTAAAATCATATTTCCACAACAAATTAAGATATAATGGTATTTTTTTTTTTTTTTTTTTTTTTTGTAGAGGAAAGCCTGAAAACCAAAACATGGCTTATACCTAGGATGATAATTAAAATTCAACCAGTTTATACCTGGGGTTAGAAGTGGGGGTCAGTAGAAAAACAAGGTACTTAGCATGCTCACGACCTTGGGTACATTCTTCAGCATCAACAAAAGACACAAACTATTGCCCACAACTGCATAATCTGCAATTTTATTCAGCATCTATCACAAAGGTAAAAGTAAATTTTAGGTGACTCAGTTCCAGGCATGGCATTTTCCAACAGTTAAAGCAAGCACTGACTATGTGGTCCAGTGATCCCAAATCCTAGGCACTGATCCTCACAAAAGCCCGAGCATGTATATTTACAAGAACTTTATTCCTAATGCCAGGTGCTGGTGTCTAACTGGTAAATGGATAAAACACAGAGACATCCACAGTGGTGCACTACTCAGCAGTAACAATGATGAACGAAGGATCTCACATGATTTAGAAGCCAACTTAAAAGCTTCCTATATATGATTCCACATGGCACTCCCCAAAAAGCTGAACTTAGAGGGATAGGGAACAGACCCGTACTTGCCAGAGGCTGGTGGTGGAAATAACAGATGACAGAAGGGTGGAAAAGAACTCTGGAAGATCACGTTGACCTAGGGGTAGCCATGGGAGCCACTATGGTGACTTCTCAAGATGCGTGTACTTTTATATTTGCTTTTATCCTCTTTTTCTCTTGTTCTGTCCAAGTTTGCTCTGCAGATCTGGTTTCTCCCATACCCACTTTTCAAATAACTTTCTTGCCATTGTTTTCAGCTTGTCTTGTCCAGTTCTTTGTTCAAGACAAGTAGAATCTGGACTACTTTTGATTGGTGAGCCATTTCTGCAGGAACTAAATACCTATAACCAAGAGAGCAGTCAACTACAATTTCACTGTGGTAGTGATTACAGGACCACATGCCTCTGTCAGTGGTCAAGATCTACCATAGAAAAGGGGAGTTTACAGTTTGTAAATTAACTCTTTTTAAAAAGGAGTACAAGCAATTGTTCTTTTAAAAAGCAGATTAGAAAAGTGACTATTTGTCTTGATAATTGCAAATGCAAACCTTAATGAGGTCTGCTACATGTCCCGCCTTCTCATTGGTTAAATGTACCTATTTTCTATAACTTTCAAAAATCTTATCAAATTCAAATCTTGATTGAATTCCTTAGTTCCAGTGAACATCTGAGCTTCACACAAAGTCTAATTGGGAACACTGAATTCATGATACCACACTAAAAAGGTCCACTTTAGGAAATATCTATGCATTTTAAAATTATTTCTTAATAGGTATCAGTCCTAGAAGAGATTTAAGACTCAAGTGCACTACTATTCACAAAATACCTTGGCCCAGCGGCAGACTGTCATCCTGCCCTTCCCTTCGTCCCAGAGGTGGTGTTCTTGCAAGAATTATACTGAATAAGGGACACACAGAGTTCTGCCAAATACATCGTTATTTGTTTCATTGTTATCAGTTAAAAAGGTTGGTTTTTTTCATTACACTGAACTTACATTAGGGGAGCTTATTATCTTTAATAGCTTAGTATTTATAATGGAAATGCTTTAATAATCAAGATTTTTCTATGCAACCCATACTTCCTGAATTAAAACTAATAAACCTACCATGTTTAAAAATAGATTAGTGACTAAACTGTCTGTCTTAGCATTTTTACTTAAAGCTAACTGGCACATCATCTGTTATATCACTGAAATTTCCATGTATTAAAGGCAAGCCTCAATTTTATAAGCTATGATTTGCTAATAAACATATTTTGATAACAAGATAAAAGGGTTACTATACCACCTGGATGGTGGTATTAATCACTTTCAGATCAAAACAGAAGTAGGAATAGTAATCAAAGACTTCTGATGTAAAACCCTCACACTGATGGTCCAGTATTCAATTTGAGAAAATCCTCATTTTTATAGAAAGAATCTAATCTAATTTGAATCATAACCCATCTTGTACTTGTCAGTATTCAAATAACAATAATATTAAGTAACAACTTGGTATTAGAACAATTTCCTCACTAGCTTAAAATAATGTATTAACAAATAACAACCAACTGATGTACAATTTCCATTTTGCATGTCTGTGAGTCCTAATGAAACAAGGCTGGAAATTCTTGAATGCATGCCAGGTAAATCCAGTTGTTTGAATATTTTTTTTTAACTAAGCTTTTTATACAGATCTTCAAAGCAAATTTTGAACCTCTATTCTTTTATTAAAAATAGGCAACAAAAACATTTTCTAGCCAAGCACAGTGACACATGCCCATAATCCCAACTACTCAGGATGTAGAGACAGGAGAATTATAAGATTGAAGCCAGTCTGGATAACTTAACAAGACAGAATCTCATTATAAAAATGTTAAAAGGGTTGGGGACATTGCTTAGTAATAACCTTTGCCTCACCTAGAATGAATAAGGCCCTGGGTTTAATGCTGACTACTGCACCCCAAACTCAAAACAAAAAAACCTTTTTTTTTTTTTTTTTTAACCTCTCTAGTTACATTTCAGTTAAAATTGCAACCACACGGTACACCTAAGCCCAGGACAGCACCCCTGGGTGGGTGAGAACACAATTCTAGGTTCAGCTGTTGCCCCTTGTAACTCACTTCCAGTACGCACTGACTGTGGGAGTCCAGGGAAGGCCACACATGTTTCTAGTGGCAGGAAGACGGGGCACAGTGGACACAGTCATGAGCTCCATAACAGCTCCATCCACAAAGGCCACACACACACAGCTGCACTGTCACAAGACAATGAAACCGAGGAATTCCACCGCCTGGTGACAGTGCCACATACTTCTCACAGCTGCGGTGACACTGGCCAGATGGACTTACATGGTCATCTGCAAGGCGATGGGGGACCAGACACTTGAGAATAAGTGATTGTTACTGGTTTGAGTATTGTTATTTTAGGGGACATGCTTCCTACTTATGTTTAAGGTTAATGTGAAAGAATATGCCCAATTAGGCAGGCGGCAGCCTCATGCCTCCTGCTGTTCTGAGTGACTGTACAGAGGCCATATCGAGGACTGACCTGTACCATGACAGGGAGCGTGCAAATGGGCCACTGTCATCACGTGACCACAGAACTGCCCAGTGCTGCCGGACCTGGATCCTATTCCTGCCATTAAGTGACGAATGACTGCGTTTTCCTCATATTGTTCAGAAGAAACCTATTATCTGTAAAGTCATCAAAATTGCCTTCCAAAATATATATATAAAATCCTGGTGGGGGAAATATGATTATACATTAAAACCCAGTATTTATGTAAAAAATATACATATAAGGCATATATTTAGAAACATATGTCTGCCCACCCATTCAACAATCCACTCATTCATTTCCTGAGTGTGTTCACTTGTAGCCCTACCTATTAAGAAAGCTGAGGCGAAAGCATCACTTTAGACCAGCTCAAGGCCCACTTGGGTAACACGGAGACAAGCCTCTAAAAACATGCAACTTTTTATATTTCTATATTTCATTCATATAGGTATACAGAGAATAAAATAGAGAATAAAAGTACACTTTTTTAGTCTAAATTAGGGCACTTATCCCGAACCCCAACTTAGAGCCTGTCTGTTATGGCATGTATCTAGATGTCCCCCTCAAATCCTCATGTGGTCATACACAGAGCTCCAGGCCTCCACTGGATCCCCCCATCTCTAGCACAAACAGTCCTTCTGTGATCTTCCACACCTGGTCTGCAGGCTGTGAGCACATCTTGTACATCATTACATATTTGTATATCCTGCATGTCTTGGTTACTGTTCTCATTGCTGAGACAAAATACCTGACACCCAAAGTTAAGGAAGGGAAGGTTTATTTAACTCTCAGTTTGTGAAAGTTTCAGTCTATAATCAGCTGGCTCCAAGGCAGGGTGGTGTGGCTAAAGGGCGGCTATTCATGTCAGCCATGATCAACAAGATTGAAAAGGGCAAAATGGGGAGAAGCAAGGAGAGAAGACTCTGTCCCTTATACTGTATGTAGACCACGTCCACCGGGGTGTAGCACTCACACCGATAATCTCAGCCTTGGACCATGAGTCGTTCACAAACTCTGGAAGCCTGTCTCCATGACTGCATGAGGCTTTGGGGGGACAGCCAACGCAAACTATAACACTGTATTAAGTTTGTACCTCTAGTAACCATTGACTGATACAGTGAGTGTCATTTCTTCTCTTTCAGCATTTCTGCCACTGCTTGTTACATTAAAATAATTAAGAGGAAAAAAGCTTCAGTAAGTTAGCCAAGAATGAAGATGTAAGATGATATCATGACCAAGGACTTCCTCCAATTGTACTAGCCCAAGGAGACATGTAGCATCCTTCATTAGAAACCATCTA